TCTCTCATTTTTTGTTTTCATTCCCTCCTTTCCACTTTTTCATTCTTCTTTTCCTCCAAATATTTAGTACCTTACTGTATATAAACCACTCTTTAGCTGGTTTCCAGTTCCTCATATTTTTAAGGTGGTCTTAATTTATATTATGGTTTTCATCTTAATACTTTCTGGATTTTAAAGTTTTTTATGGTGTAGATCCCACATTTAGACAAAAAGCTGAGATTATTTCTTTTTTTAGTTACCTGTTTTTAAATTTACCAGTTATGTGTTTTTGTTTTGTTTTTATTTTAAAATTTAAAATAAAAGCATTTATTTTTTTAGAGTGGTTTTAGGTTCACAGCAAATTAAGTGGAAAGTACAGAGAGTTCCCATGTGCCCTCTGCCCCCACATGTGCGTAGATAGCCTCCCCCACTATCACCATCCCCCACGAGAGTGGCACACTTGTTACAGTTGATGAATACACACTGACATATCATTATCCACCAAAGTCCATAATTTACATTAGGACTCACTCTAGATGTGTGTGTTCTAGGAGTTTGGACAGATCTGTAATATGTATTCCTCATTATAGTATTACATGGAGTAGTTTCACTGCCCTAAAAATCCTCTGTATTCTTCCTGTTCATCCCACCCTCCCCCAGAATCCCCAGAAACTACTGATCTTTTTACTGTCTCCATAGTTTTGCCTTTTCTGGAATTTAATATAAATAGAATCATACAACATGTAGCCTTTTCAGACAGGCTTCTTTCACTTAGTAATATGCAGTTTCTTCCACGTCTCTTTATGGCTTGAGAGCTCATTTCTTTTTGGTGCTAAATAATATTCCATTGTCTGGATGTACCACAGTTTATTTATCCATTCACCTACAGACAGACTTGACTGCTTCCAAGTTTTGTCAGTTATGAATAAAGCTGCTATAAACATCCATGTGAAGGTCTTTGTATGGACGGTTTTTAACTTTTTTGGGTAAATACCAAGGAGCATGATTGCTGGACTGTATAGTAAGAATATGTTTAGTTTTGTAAGAAACCACCAAACTATCTTTCAAAGTAGCTGTACCATTTTGCATTCCCACTAGCAATAAATGAGAGTTCCATTTGCTATACATTTTCACCAGCATTTGGTATCATTAGTGTTCTGGATTTTGGCCATTCTAACAGGTGTATTAGTAATAGTATCTTGTTGCTTAATTTGCATTTTCCTGATGACATATGATATGGAGCATCTTTTTATATACTTATTTGCCATATGTATATCTTCTTTGGTGAGGTATCTGTTAAGGTCCCTGAACCATTTTTTAATCTGATTGTTTATTTTCTTATTGACTTATTGAGTTTTGATTGTTTTTTTTTTCTTATTGTTAAGACTTCTTTGTGTATTTGGGATAGCAGCCCTTGTCTTTTACAAATATGTATTTTTAAATAAAATGATGAATATTTGAAAAATTCACTAAAAAGCAAGAAAATAAAAATCATCTGTAAACCTATCACCCAGAAATAACAATGGTTAACTTTATTTTTATTTACCTATTTTTGGGCACATATACATTTGGCCTTCCATATTCATGAGTCCTGCATCATGGATTCAACCAAACAAGGATCAAAAATATTAAAAAATAAAAATAAAATAAATAGTAACAGTGCAACATTAAAAAATAATACAAATTTTAAAAATACAGTATAAGAACTATTTATATAGCATTTACATTGTATTAAGTATTATAAGTAATCTAGATATGATTTAATGTATATGGGAGGATACGTGTAGGCTGCACCATTTTATATCAGGAGCTTGAGCATCCACAGATTTTGGTATCTGTGGGAGTCCTGGAGTGAATCCCCCATAGGTGTGGAGGGATGACTATACTTATTACTTGTTTTTTTTTTTTTTAATACTAAAACTTCAGGGCCGGCCCGGTGGCGCACTCGGTAGAGTGCGGCGCTTGGGAGTGTGGCGGGGCTCCCGCCGAGGGTTTGGATCCCATATAGAGACCGGTCCGCTCACTGGTTGAGTGCAGTGCGGGTGCGACACCGAGGGTTGCGATCCCGTTGCCGGTCGCGGTATAGGCGCGACACCGAGGGTTGCGATCCCGTTACCGGTCACGAAAAAAAAGACAAAAAGGAAAAAAAAAAGACTAAAACTTCAGTGGAAACTTTTAGAACCTTTTTTCAAGTATTTCAACATTAAACATATTTTTTTCTAGTATCAATTATAGGAACTATATTTTTAAATCTATAATTTCAAGGTCATCCCAACCCACTTTTATGTCTAGCTTCAATAAATCTTAAATCCTGCCCTTAACTCATAAGCCTCAGGGTAAGGTAAGTAACATATATTTAGAGGAACAACGTAAGGATTTTAAAAACTAGAGACAGCAGATTCTACCTAAGGGAATTCAGATTAAAAAATTTTAAAAACGCTGTGTTGGCCAAACATAACATGTCTTCAGGCTCTGGCCTCAGCTTTACTCTTTCTTAAAAAACTAATTGGTGTCTCTGCAAAAATATTGGCCTATTTTCTAATACTTTAAGATATACGTAATTTAAATTAATCTGGGTTACACAGAAGTCTCTACCAGATTATGCCCTACTGTATCACCTTTCAAATTCTTGGTTTCTCTAGCTGAGCACCATCAGTCAACTAATCTAATAAAAGTAGGTCTAGCAAAGGACTTTAGACAGAACACTCATAATTCTCCATCTCTGCAAAAACTGAGATGGTTCATATTAACCCTAAACCACTAGACAGTAGAGTGGATCAGCCCAATTTTTGGTGAAGTTTTTACAAGATGGAGGCAACAAAGTCAATTTTCTGTGTCCTGCCATACCTCCACCCATATACCCCAATGCATGCCAATTCCATACCTATTTTCTCTAACAAGGTAAATTTGGGTCAACATTTCTTTTTAGTTTATTGTTTTTAATCCTTACTTCTAAAAGTCTTTGTAAAAAAAAAAAAAGTATTATTATTTGAGTCTATTTTACTTTTTAAAAAATTTTACATCACAGATTGTTTTAATTTGCTATTATGGTTTTATCTTAGACCAAAAGGATTGCAGATTCATAGGCCTTTAGATCTGGAAGGGACGTAGAGAGTGTGATCTTCATCATTTATAAAACAGATTGAGTAGTGTAAGTTTGTACTATTGGTCTGGGCTTGGTCAGGGAGATAGAGCCATTTTATGTATTGTGGCAATAAGGAATTTAATAAAGGAATTTAGGCTAACTCAAATGTGGGAGAAGTTGGAGAAGTGGAGGTCTCTGGTAGGAGAATCAGAGAAACAGCTTGAAGCACTGGATCTGGGAAAGAAAGCCATGTGTGCATTGCAGTGAAGAGGTCTGTATGCCTACAATGTCTGACCACTTTGCAAAAATAATGGCCTCTGCTTTACTTGCAAATTCCAAATCTTGGACAATTTCCTCTCACTGGAAGACTGTAACCTGAAGCTATAGGAAAGGAGATTTTGAGGAATATAAAAAGGGATTGGTGGTGATGGTATCAAGTTAATCCAGCACAGTTGCATACCTAATTCATAGCACTCATTCTGTTATTCCCACCTTTCTTGATTGTTTCTCATACCCTAATGTATGTCTGTCTTCATTGGACATTAAGCAACCTTGAAGTCTTGACATCTTATACTTTTTCATGGACTCATTTTAGATTGCTTCCTAAAGCTACAGACATTTTTTTTAAGAGTTGTTTAAAAATAACACTTGTTTCTCTGTTGCCTATTTCTTGAACTGTAAACCAGAGGTAGGTTCACTCTTTAAACATTACTTGTATTTTATTAACCAGTTGAACAAAGCCCCAGGTTGTTAGAGCTGCAAACATGAATTTCATCAATAATTTAGATTCCCCGGCTAAGTAAAGAAATATGTGAGGATACTTCAAAAAGCTTGTGGAAAAATAGAATTAAAAGATAATACAAATCTTTCCATGAGCTTTTTGAAGTACCCACATATAAATAAAGATGGAATGAATAATTATTCTGAAACACTGAGAAATCTCAATGTTTGCCTTTGCTGGAGACTTTGAGACTAAAGTCCACAGTACAGAATAGAATCTGTTTTCCAAATTGATAGAGGAAATGTTGATGTAGAACTTAACACGCTGGTCTGAAGCCAGTGAGCTAAACTTCAGTCTGTCCATGGTTAACCTACCCATAAATAACAACTTTGTATCTCCTTCTTTACCCATTCACCCATAGATTTTTATTTTATTTTTTTTGCATTTGAAAATCTTCCACAACCAAGCAGATGATGAATAATTGAAATCCAATTCAGTATATTATTTTTACAAGTGATTATTCATTACTTGCCAAACGACTGCATTAGAAAAATTTGGCAGATTTAGACATACATTTTTTGAATCCTAAGTGGTTAAGAAATATGATTTAGCTTACAGAACAATTGAGTATGTGAATAATAATATTTCGGAGAACATTCTTCCATTTAGCAGAAAGATGTATAAATTGTAATAGTTGAGAGACATGATCAACATTTATTTGTGAACTGAATGGATTTTATTACTAACAGTTTTAGTCATAACAAATATAAATTATGTACATATGAATGATTTATTTATATCTTGGCTTTTGTGATCAATGGTTTTTAAAATTACATTAGTTTTACGATGTAGGATTAAATGGTTGCAGCTCAAAATCATGTAATTATTTATATAGAGCCTCAATACACAAAATTTGGCATTTTAGGATGATACCTGATGGTGTTAGTTGTAAAACAACATCAGTGAGTAGGTGGATACTACTCACCGATTCAGTAGTTCTTGTAAGATAGTTAAGTACAAAAAAGTTTTTTGCTTAAACATCTCAGACAAGCTGAATGTTAGATGTAAGACTGGTAGTTAATTCAGAATTATATTCAAAGTGCAATGTGAGCTTATCAGATTTACTTAAGAATTATTTTGGGCTTTAAGACAATGTTTCATTTAAACAGAGCAGACAGCATATAGATTATTCAGTGAAAATATCCACCTTAACAGGTAAATATTGGGAAGATGGATTCACCCATTGAAAAGTGGAACCTAATAATTGGCAACTTGGCTTTAAAGCAGGTAAGTGATATATGTTATTTATTTATAGATCTTAGATGTTAAATGGAGTAAATATTAGTACTATAAAGTATACCATTATTTAATTATTTCAGTACACACCAAAACAATAATTTTGTACCTTGAAAAAGTGATGGAATAAATGCATACCCATGACCTCTGCAAGTTATTCTTTTTCTAGAAACTGGTCAAATTATTTCAAATATGAAAAATACATTTAAAAAATATACAAAATATAGAAAATATTTTTTATCTTAAAAGTGTAATAGAGTCAGAATTTGCGTTAATATCTGTACAAATAAATATTTAACACTTCATTATTTAGGTGTTTTTTTCTGCTTTGATTTTTTAAAGTAAATCATCTGTTTAATTAAATTGAGCTCTTTTTTATATATATTGTGTTCAGCCATTTGTTTAAGCTGCTTTTCTTAATTTGTTAATGTTACTCATGTTAATATAAATGAATACATTAAGTTACAAACTACATATGCACTAAACCATGGATTGTATATAATCTACAGCTCTTTCTAGTCTCAGGTGAGTTTCTATTGTTCCTCTCCCTCTACCCTCCCCTATCTCCAAGGCAGAAGACTCAAATCATTCTTTTTTTTTTTTTTTTTTCTGTGACCACTAAGGGGATCGTAACCCTTGGCTTGGTGTCGCCCTCACTGAGCTCAGCCAGTGAGTGCACCAGCCATCCCTATATAGGATCCAAACCTGCGGCCTCAGCGCTCCCAGCGCCACACTCTCCCGAGTGAGCCACGGGGTCAGCCCAGAAGACTCAAATCATTCTAATAATTTCCATCTTAGCTTTTAATTCTTCCTTTCACTTTTAATCTCTACTCTTTCTCTATCATCCGTCTCCCTGCATGTGTTGGTCCAATGGGAGCGAGAAATGGGTGGGGATTCACTTATCCTAGTTGCCATAGCCTGAAGCGCATGTCTCTGTCTGCCTCTCCACCAAGAGTGTATAAAGAACAGGGAACCCCAAGCAGGCCCATCAGGACACAATTGATGCCAGCCAGTGAGGCAGCAATTGGTTGGAGCCCAGTTACCAGTAGACAAAAGTGAGAAGAAAAGAAGATAGAGGGGCTGGGTGAGAGGTTATTCTCTCCCTAAGGCTTCATCTGCTAAAACTTATGGGGGAGTAGATGAGTGTGTGTGGGGGGGTGGGATGAGCTGGCATAAGGCTCTTCTGCCTGGAGACTGGCTATGGAGGGAAGTGGTAGGGAAGGGTGGAAAGGACAGAGGAGGCTCATGCTTTCACTTACTGGGAGGCATGTGCTCTTCTGCCTATTAAATGGGGTCTCAGGCAGATTACCTGTCACAGATTTCTTTATCATTGTACAGAACAGCTGCCTTGACAACATAAGTTGTCAGGTAAAGCAAAGTCCCCAGTCCCATCTGAGAAACCATTACCTCATCAGGAGGGATGTGCCCCGCACCAACATCTATTCACGCCTATAGCCCCTATTAACCTCCCCAGCTACTACTCGAACCCAGACTTTGCTTTCTCTTGGGTACAATTAATGATTTTTAAATAAGTCATTCTTTTGCAGGTTTACAGAATAGAACTTTCTCATCCCAGCTAAGTTTGTCCATTTCTTCAGAAATGGTTAGATATATACATACAAAAAGTCTTTATATATAGCTTCACAGGGTCTTCAATAAGTTCATGGAAGGATTCATATTATCTTTTAAATCAATTTTTCCTCAAACTTCTTGAGGTACCATTGTATATACCATGATGTCTGCAGCAGGACCCCTAGCTCTGTGTTCCAGTGTCAAACCAGAAAATACTTGGAATCATAATGTTAGAATTTACATTATTAATTAGTTTTGCGGCTGAAGTATTATCATGTTATTTACTAACGAGTATGAAAGTACTAAAATATTTTAACAACTGCTACAGCCATAATGGTGCTTATAGCTTGGATGTCTGCTGTCAATCTGTGGGTGACATAAACAGGAGCTGTAATAAAAGATCATGGGGCGGGAATTCAGGCTATCTGGACTCTCTAGTCCTGGCTCTTCTGTTCATTCATTATGACAGGTCAGACTTATTCATGAATTTTTCGCTTGGATCCCTTGGTTCCAGTACATTGATTGGCTTCAGAGAGTCTGTGAACGCCTAGAAGTTCTACTCAAAATATTGAGTGCCTCTGTGTTTTCCTAGAGAAAAGGATCTTTATTCTGTAGAGTTTTTACCAGGTTGTCAAAGGGGTTCATGACACAAACACAGCTAAGAATCAGTGGAATAGTTTCCTGAGATTTCTTTTAGTTTTGACATTCTATTAATCTGATTCTGAGTCTGCAATCAATGTTAGTTTTCTTAGTTGCAATTTTTTTGAATGTTGTTTTGTGTCAGCACTGTAGGAAGCACTTTATATATTTATGTAATTAATTTAAATCTTAAATTTTGATATTATTATTGCCATTTTATAGATTAGGAACTGAAGATTTTATAACACTAATCATGTTTGTCATTATTTGTAAGGTTATTTTTGAATGCTTTCTCTCCCACGGACCAAGAGCCCTGTGAGAGCAGAGAATAAATCTATTTTGACCACTTGTAGCCCAACACCAAGTATAGTGCATTGTACATCATAGGATCTAAATAAATATTAGTTGAATGAATGAATTTAAATAACTTGCCACAAGATTAGGTGGTTGACCCAAGAATCAAACTATTATTCTATTATAAAATCCAATCTCTTACCAACACTGCCTCTAGAGTCAGATTTCAGAAGTGTGGATTGGGTACTTTTTGGTCTGAAGGTAGGATTATCTCAGATGATCTGGGGATTTACACCATCAAAATCACTTGGGGTGCTTGTTGAAAACAGATTCCTGGACCCCGTTCCATACCTGCTGCCTCCAGATCAGGGCAACATGAGAACCCATCATATTAGGGAATATTAAAGCTAAAATATAGTAGGTTCTTTAAAAGATAGTGCAGCTCAATTACCATATGCAATATTTTCTTTGGACTTCTTGTGTACAGTATTTACACAATCAAAAATTTTAAGTGTGTTTTTAAAATGAGTAATTCAGTTGGATTTTATAAAAAATTTTTTAGGTTCAGGCAACAGTAGTTGGTTTTCTAGCAGCTGTGGCGGCAATTATATTGGGCTGGATTCCAGAGGGAAAATATTACCTTGATCATTCCATACTTTTGTGCTCTAGCAGTGTGGCAACTGCCTTCATTGCATCTCTTCTGCAGGGTAAGTGAATTTATAAATGTCTACTCTACAGCCTTTTACTTTTAAATAATTTATTTTTCAATAATTATTTGTATTTAAGTGATACTTGTTCATTATGAAAACAACAGAAAGAAGTTATTACAAACTTTAAAAATATCTTAATTATTTTAGATATGTTTATATTTTATTATTTATAAAACTTAGTGTAGAACAGGCTTTCTGAGGTTGTCTTCTGGCCTTAGATAATCTGGTATATTTCCCAGACGATTAGGAAAATAGCCTAGACATTAATTTGTTTCTGTAAGGTAAATTAATTGAGAAACTCCTTTCTGGAAATCATGCAGGTGATTTACTGGCTTGCCACTCAAGCAAAAACAAGTGTTCCAGGAATTCTGAGTTTCAAAAGCAGTCCCTCTGTTAAAAATTATTTAAGTTTCAGATTTCAAAAAAAATTTTCTTCACTGTTTCTGTGGCAATACAAATATAAACCTATGCTTAAGACAGCATATTGTTGGCTATAGAATTTTTAAAAGCCAAGAGGTTTTAAAAATTAACTACATTAGAACTTCTTAGTTGGGATATCTTTCATTATATTTATTTTTAATATGAACTTTATACTAGAGAACTAGCTTATTATGGAATCATAATTATAAAGACTTGGTTCTTTTTATTTTATAATTGCCATCTTCTCAACTTTATATCACCAGCAAAGTTAAAAATGGAAGATGTTCACGTCAGGTGATCATACAACACAGCTAACTTTTCTGGCTAGGTTCTAAGAATTTAAGGAACATTGTTAAATTTAAGACTTCCAAAATATTTTAAACATTTTGTTTTAGTACTTAAATTATATCAGGGATAGTTTCTTGTCTTTATATAGAATTATTGGAATTGAATGGAGTTAACACTGGCCAAAGCAGAACGAAGTTATTAGAAAATTAAATTTCTGGTTAAAAGAAATGTTATATGAGCAGCATCAGCACTCTGTTTCTTTAGGCTCATTTGCTTCTGTTTTCTTTCTGATTTTGTTTCATTTAGAAAGTTTTGTTTAAAATTTTTTAGTCTAACAAGTATTTGAAATGTCTAGGATTTTCAAAACTATCAAAAATTCAGATTTTTAGAATACATTTTTTTAAAGCTTCTTACTTTGAATAATTTGTTCTGATTTTTTGATAACTTGACCTTTATAACCACCTTCATATATGTAAAGCAGATACTATTGACCACATTTTGTAGGTGAGAAAACTGACTCAGACAGGTAAGGGGACTTGTTAAATTTCATTAGCTCGTTAGCAGAATCAGAATTAAAACCCGTTTCCTGACTCCCAGCTTTTTCTGGTGGACCATGATGCATGCAAAACATTTGTTTTCAGCTGAAAAGATATAGATGGCACTGGATCATAGGAGAACTTCCCATACAGATCTTTAAATGTGCTGATTTTAGAAAAAGAATTAGTTCTGTATAGTCACATCTTGTTGACTATTAAGTAATATTTTAAAAAAATTTTCTGCTACTATTATTTTTTTTCTTTTTACAATGATATTGTGGGAAAGGTAAGTCCAGTGATTGAAAAATCCTCTAGAGGGCTGGCTGGTTAGCTCAGTTAGTTAAGAGTGCAGCCTTATAACAACAAGTTCAGGGATTTGGATCCCTGTACTGGCCAGCCACCAAAAAAGAAAAAAAAAAAGAAAAGAAAGAAAAATCCTCCACAATATGAGATGTGAGGAATTGTTTGATGAAAGACAAAAATTCTACTTTTTAAAATTTGGCTTTATGGGATAGAATAAAAAATACTGAGCTAGAGTCACTCACAAGCTATATTACCTAGGCAAGAATTCAAACCCTACTACCCAGGACTTTAGTTTTATTATCTATAAAATGAATATATAAAAATGAGTATATATTAAAAAATGGAATAAAAAAATTAAAGTCATTTTTACTTTAAAAATGTGGTGAGAGTTTGTTCATTTTTTTTCTGTAGCTATATTTAGGTTTCCGCTTTGATTTATGGTTAGCTCATAAATAAACATTTAAATTTTCTCTGTACTGAATCTTCTTAATGAATGTGTTGGCACAAGAAATCTATATAATTGGGTGTGGACATAAATGTTATCATTTTCCTTGCATTTGTATTATGCAAGAAAATAAGGATTTAAAAGTGCAAGCACACAGTTACATTTTCATGTTCTATTCTGTTATAGGTTTATAGACAGAAACTTTGGGTTTAAAGAATATCTTTACAAAGACTGTTTCTTATGTTCTGGCCTCCAGTGTTCAAAATTTAATTACTTTCTACTTCTTAATACTTCAACACTTTCCAATAATAAAATAAATTAAGCACTTCTAGTTACTGTATGTGAACAAATCTATTTTTGTTAATCTTTGTCCCAGTTTCTATGCATATAAATATGATTCACCTTTCTTTGACGTTTTATACTTCGAGGGTTAAAATGAAAATCTTTGGATTTGATACACACAAATATATTACATCTAAGACATACATGTTACTAAGTTAGAAATTTTAGCTTTAGTATAATTTTACAGTAGCTTTCAGGTCTCTAAATGCAGCATTGAACTTCTCAAATCTTCTATGATCCCCACTTGGAGTTTGTTGAAAGGCATTTTGCCAAAGCATTAGAGTTACATGTTTTGTTTGCTTTAGTCAGCTTATTTAAGTAGTCTGACTGGAACTGATATGCTTTTTGTCTATCCTACACACTTCGGTATTGTAGGGATTGATTTTCTTTCAATCATAGCATAAAAAGTAATGAACATTCTTTCTTCTAGGAATAATAATGGTTGGGGTCATCGTTGGTTCAAAGAAGACTGGTATAAATCCTGATAATGTTGCTACACCCATTGCTGCTAGTTTTGGCGACCTTATAACTCTTGCTATATTAGCTTGGATAAGTCAGGGTTTGTACTCCTGTCTTGGTAAGTTGACTTGAAACTAAGTATAATGTGTTATTTAGAGTCTCTTTAAATAAATATTACTGCATTAATGCCATGAATCCATGGTGACCTTCATCTGTATTAGAACTCTTGTTGAGACTGATTAGAACAATAACTGTCATTTGTTGTACACTTACTATGTGTTGTGGTTCTCATATATTTTTTTCTCTTATAGAGTTTAAGACTCTGTAAGATAAGGATTATCATCTCTAATTTCAGATGACAAAACTGAGGATCATTGAAATTCTGTCTGTTACCCAAGTTTACCCATCTACTGGTAGAAAGGTTGAACACAAGTCTGTGATAGTCTATGATTTGTGCATTTTCCTCTAAATATGCAGCCAGCTAAGAATTGTTCTGTTATTTGTTGAACTGCCAACTCAGAATATAAAGTTATGGTGGTACTTAAAATTTACCAGTGGGTTTTTTTCCCTCATCAGAAACCCACACCGATAAGTAGCCTCATGGAAGTTAACAAAAATGAAAACAAAACAAAAACACAATGAAAATTAGCCTGAATACTGTGTGAAGTTGAAGTCGTATTGTATATGTGATTCCTGATAAATAGTGATAGAGTGTTTATAGAATCTAATGAATTGTTTCAATGCATATTTGTGCTCTGGTCAGTGATAAATGAATATGATTTGTGAGCATTGGTTAAATGATTGTGGTCTTTCTTTTTTTGATGCCAAGTTTAAAAAAGAAAAAGAAAACAGAAACCCACAGTAATACAAAAAAGAAAAAGAAAAAAAAAAGATTGTTTATAAGCCAAACCAGAGGTAAACATTTATTCACATGTTCTCATATTTTCATGTGTTGTATACAGATTTATGTTATACTTTAAAATAAATCTAAAGTATACTTAGTTTGAAGAAACAAGAGTCTGAGATATGTGTTCTTGAGCTAAAGAAAGCTCTTTCACCTACCAAAGGCAATAATTTTCTATGACTTTTAGAGATATCAGGGGAAGCTTTATTTAGTTTATAAAACTGCCTTAAGTTATATTTAATGAGTGGTATAAAAAAATTAACATGACTTGATGGTGTATGTTCAAGGAAAATTTTTCTTATTTCGAAGATAAAGATGTGTCCACTTGAAGTAAGGTAAAAGACAGTAAATGATCAATGGCTTAACTGTAAGATCTTGTTCCCAAAGGTCTTGGCTTTTGTTGTCGTGTAATATACAAGGGATGTTATATATTCAAGTATATTTAGGGTAATGCTCAATTCCCTTTTCTCCCACTCAAAAAAAAAAGCACATAAAATGAGTTACGTTATTAAAGGAAAATAAATCTGCTCTAGTTTACACTGTTAGGATAATAAATTGGTCATTTTTTTTCCTCTCTAAATTATTATACAATGTAGAAATAGATGCTGAAGTCAGGGATTGAAATATTAGCTTATGTCTAGTATTACAGAATGTGGCTTAATATTTTTCTCCAATTCTATTAAACTTACCCACTCACTCACAGGCAGACAGCTGGACAACTTTTATCCTCACCCCATAAGAATAGACTGTTAACTGTATTGGGGAACAGAGACTGTCATCAATAGGCCAAAAGAGAGAGCCAGTGAGGGTATGAATTAGGCATACATAGTGCCCTATTCCTTAGTCTTCTCTATTAGATAAATCTCATGTTGAGGATGAGGTAAGAGAGAGGAAGAGAATAGAAGAGTATGAAGAGTTTCTTCCCAGTATTACTAAGAAGACAGAAATTCTAAGGGTCTGCTCAGGAACATTGAGAGTGGGAATGGGGATAGATGTTCTGGGATGGGTTTCCCTGTTTACTTAAAAAAGAGAGGGATATTATTTGCATACTTGGGCACTTAAGTTACCAGTAAGTCATTTGTAACACATTTCTCAGCTGCCTGCTTAATACCAGGTGTCTCATCAGTTGAAGACACAGTGGTAAGAAAGAGAATGCCATTGAAGAATGTTATCATAATAAATATGACAATTATTATAATAACACAAACTAAGTACTGTGAGATTACAGAAGATAAATCAACTATTGAGGAAAATAATGTGTGCTGACTTTTAAAATTTTATTTGTTAAAACTTGTTTTGTGGCCTAACATATTATCTGTCCTGGAAAATTACATAATCTGATAAACTCTCTTTATAGAAGATTTTATCGTAATGTGTTGCCATCTAAAGCTTTCAATATTTTGATTGTTATATAGTGATACATTAATAGTTTAAATGGATCAAGAAATAAAGTAAAATGGAATTACAATCACAGACTATAATTTTGAAAAATAATATTTATTTTGAAAAATAATAATATATTAATTATTGCTTAGGATTTTCTAGGCTTTTACTTGTCTTCTGAAAGTTGGCTCAAAGTAATTCAAGATGAATTAATTAAAATACAGTCTTTTGCATTTCATTTGTATCATTAATCCCCTAAAGGGATATTTTTTTAATGGGCTATAGATTAATTTCATAGTTAATTTAACAGTTAAAGGTGTTTCTGAAGTGTCAGTGTGTTTGGATTGTTAGTGCCTGCATGTGAGCAGTAGGTGGCATCATAAGATCAGCAGTTAGATGCCTTGTATTTTTATTCTGAATACAAAGATTAGGAGACACATTTAAATTACTGGACCCCATTCATCCTGCTCAGAAGCCTAGCTCTTAGAAACAAAATTTAATTCCTGAACTGTATTGAAAACACTTAGCAGTCTTTAGACATAAAAAAAAAGATTTTATGGTAGCTATAGGCTTTGATTACAGAGGTCATGTATTATATGGCTCTCCAAGAATTGGACATTAAGAAAAGTTTCATGGGGCCAATTCATCAAGAGGATATAATAGTTGTAAATATATATGTACCCAACACTGGTGCACCTAAATATATAAGCAATTATTAACAGATCTGAAGGGAGAAATAGACAGGTATACAGTAGCAGTAGGGGACTTCAATACCCCACTTCCGACAATGGATAGATCATCCAGACAGAAAACCAATAAGGAAATGTTGGATTTGAACTAACCTTTAGGCCAAATGGACCTAACAGACATATACAAAACATTCCATCCAATAGCAGTAGAGTACACATTCTTCTCAAGTGCACATGGAACATTCTCCAGGATAGATCATCTGTTAAGCCACAAAACAAATTTTAACAAATTTAAGAAAATTGAAATCATATCAAGTATCTTTTCTGACCACAATAGTAAGAAATTAGAAATCACTAATAGGATCAAAGCTGGAAAATTCATAAGTATGGGGAAATTAAACAGCACATTCCTGAACAACCAATAGATTAAAGAAGTCAAAGTGGAAATTTAAAAATATTTTGGGATAAATGAAAATGGAGCACAGCATACCAAAACCTATGGGATATAGTAATACCAGTTCTAAGAGGGAAGTTTTTGTTTTTATTGTTTTTGGTGGCTGGCTGGTACAGGGATTAAAGCCTGGACCTTAGTGTTATCAGCACCACACTCTAACCAACTAAGCTAACCAATTAGCCCTAAGTGGGAAGTTTTATAGTGATAAATGCCTACATTTAAAGAGGAGAAAGATCTCAAATAAACAACCTAACTTTATAGCTCAAGAAACTAAAAAAAGAAGAAACCCAAAGTTAGCAGAAGGAAGGACATAATAAAGATCAGAGCAACAAAATAAATCAAATATAGGGTATAAAAACTGTGGAATAAATCAATAAAACTGAGTTCTTTTTTAAAAAAAATTAAATTGGCAAAGCCTTAGCTAGACTAATTAAGAAAAAAAGAAAGAAGACTTAAACAAAATCAGAAATGAAAGTGGAGATATTGCAGTGGATGCTTCAGAAATAAAAAAGATCAAAGGAGACTATCATGAACAATTTTATGACATCAAATTAGATAACCTAGAGGAAATGGGTAAATTTTTAGAAACACAGTTACCAAGATTGAATCAAGAAGAAATAGAAATCTTGAACAAAGCAATAACAGAGAGAGTGAAGTAGTAAATGAAAACCTCCTAACAAAGAAAATCCCAGGGCCAGATTGCTTCATGGTTTAATTCTAACAAACATTCAAAGAATTAATACCAGTTCTTCTTAAACTCTTCCATAAAAATAGAACTACAGGGACTATTTCCAAGCTCATTTTCTGAGGCCAGTATCACCTTAACACAAAAGTCAGACAAAGACACCACAGGAAAATAAAACTGTAGGCCGGTATCTCTGGTGAACATAGCTGCAAAATTCCTCAATAAAATACTAGCAAACCAAATTCAACAGTACATAAAGAAGATTATACATCATGACTGCAGTTGATTGAATGTTCCCCCAAACTCATTAAAGCTTGATCCCCACTGTAACTGTTGAAGGTGAAAAATCCTATTATGGTAATTGAAAGGTGCAGCCTTGAAGAGGTGATTAATTGTGAAGACCATGCCCAAGTAAATGGATTAATCCATTGATGGTATAATGGTTATCATGGGCATGGTTCTGAGGGCTTTAAAAGGAGAAGGAGTGAGGAATTAGCTCTCTCTGCTCTGCCATTCTCACCATGTGACACCCTGCATTGCTGTAGAGTCATCTAACCAGATGTGTTCCCTGTACTTTGGACTTCCCAGCCTCCAAAACTGTAAGCAATAAATTTTGTTTTCTTACAAATGACCCAGTTCCAGGTATTTTGTTATAAGCAACAGAAATGGACTACTACAGTGACTAAGTGGGATTTATCCCTGCGATGCAAGCGTGGTTTAATATATGCAAATCAATCAGTATGATGCACCACATTAACTGAATGAAAGATAAAAACACATGCTTTCAATAGATGCAGAAAGTTTTTAACAAAGTCAAACATCTTTTTAGTGGAAACTCTAAGCGATTTAGTTATAAGAAGAAATTTCCTCAAAATAATAAAGGCCATTTATAAAAAGCCCTCAGCTAGCATCACAATCAATGGGGGGAAACTGAAAGCTTTTCTCTAAGATCCAATACAAAGCAAGAATGTCCACTCTCACCACTTCTGTTCAATGTAGTACT